GCTTCAGTCATTCAGCTCGACGATCGATTACGCGCAGATTCCCATGCTTTCAGGGGACAGTTGGCAAGGGTCGATTACGCTGTCCTTGTCCCAAATGTAAGTACAATGTGGACACTGGAAGTAATGTAAGTCGAAGTGGGATTGCAGAATCGTTAGTATGGAAAGTAGCCAAGGCTGAAATGGGAAAGGCAACCTGATGTATGACAAATCTGCCGCGAGATTGAAGGAAGCCTAGAACCCCGAAAACGATCTGGCTGACAGGATACGAAGGGCAGCAACAACCCAAACCTAACGGTAAAACTGACCGTAACCTGAAAAGTAAAAATAACCCCTAACGTAATTATAAACCTAAAGCTAAGCCTAAACTAACCACTGACCCTAACCGTAGCCTTAACCGTGATCCTAATCCTAACCATAACCCAAACCTAACCTTAACCATAACCTCAACCCTACCCCAATACAAACCCCAACTCCAACCTCAACACTTAACTTAAATCCAAACCGCAATCCAAACCCTAACTCTAACCGGAACCCTTAAACCCAGCTTAAACCCTAACCCTAAACTAAATTCTCAGCCTGACACATACCCAAACCCTACCTCTAAGCCGAAACATCAGGTTGCCCCTTTCCGTTTTAGCTTTGACCACTTTCCCACTAACGATTTTAGCATCATCCTTCGGCTTACTCTACTTGCAATGTCCACATTGCGATTACACATGAGACCAGGACAGCGTAATCGAGCCCTACCGGAGATTCTTCTATGGATACGGTACCCTGCGTGGCGACCAGCACAAAGACCCGGTGCTAGATTCTCTTCGGTGATCGCCACTATCTAGTGCAATTTGCTCAATGCAAGGCGAAGATAAATCTTAATTTGAAAGAACAGGCGGAGAACGCTTTGAATCTCCATTTCCTGATCGAGGATCTATATTAATTCCTTCAGCACGTAGCTCCTCAGTTTTCGCAGCATGTTCCACAAACAAAGTCGCGCGAGAACACTTATCAGACAGGTTAACACCCAATACATCGACCCGGAAGAAAAAGCACGTGAGACCCCGTATATCAGCGATCGAGTTATACGGACTGGCTATCTGAAGGCGATTATAAGCAGATGCCTACGCATTTGTCTCCGGTGAACTTCTGCGTGATATGGCATGCGCTATGTTATTACTGACAAAACAAGGGAGACTGGAATGGACACTTCTGGCTTATTGGCCGTCGTCAGCCAGCCATACCCAACCCCAAAGTGTGGAACACCCGAGGCTCGAAGTCGCGACCTGTTAGTTAGAAGTCCACGCCTCTAACCACTGGGCCACGAGTCCGTTGCCCTGTCAGTTTCGATCAGGAATATACAATGATAGGGGGCGCTAAGGATCGTTCTTACGGAACTCACTCGTTCCGTTGTGCCTTACGGGCTCTGTCTCTCGGGCTGACGACGGCTAATAAGCCAGAAATGTCGGTAATAACATACTGCCTATATCATGCGCCGCTGTGCGGCTGCTGGTTGGGCTCGATAGAGAGCCCGTAAGGCACAACGGAACGAGTGAGTTCCGTAAGAACGATCGGTGAGCGACCCCCTCCCCCTACCATGGCATGCTCTGCCGTAAATTAAGGTTGTGTCAGAGGTGACCGAGCGTACTGATACCGGAAGAGGTGTTGGAATCGCTCACGGGGTCAAAGCTTACATACGGAGCGCCATCATGAAAATCAAGGACCGGTTAAGTGTAAAGGAGCAGGTAGGGGCAGTGTACCGCATTCCGCGCCTAAAACGTACTTCCAGTTACACGGGTCAGACTGAAAGCATGGTCTGATAGCGCATACATGGACAAAAGCTGGTTGTAGACCGGAGTAATGTATAATTACGAGTGGCTGCTCACACCTTCGAACTGGGTCATGAGTTTAACTTTTCAGCCGCCAGGATAATCGCTCACGCCGGAAGCACGAAAAATGGAGAATTGATCGAAGCCCGAGTCTCAAATGAAAACATTGTCAATCGATGCATCGAGCTGGCGCCGGCAAATAGAGGCCTGCGCATCCACCTCCAGACCTGTGTCGCCGATCGTCGATTTGTAAACACCGCCTATAACTGCCGCCTGTTCTGTTGCTCATTTTATACCGGACGATAAACTTCTGCACGAGTTCGGGGGCTCAGATAAACAAACAAATGGTTCTGGTATTCGACCGGGTTCCCTCTTCTTCTTCTTCTTCTTCTTCTTCTTCATCATCATCATCATCATCTTCTTCTTCTTTCTCCTCTTCGTCTTCATCTTACTTACTTGCTTACTTGTTTACTTACTTAACTTCAGTCTAATTCGTCTCTAGGGTGCCGCATGCAAAATAATGGAGAACATCTACCCTGACCATCTTTGCGCACTACCATGACAGCAAAGTCCGCAGTTATTACAATACCCGCCCAGTCAGGGGGGGGGAGAATGGTGGCATGATCAATAATTTAAATCAGATTTAAAATGTGTCGTCTATATTGCGAGTATTAAATCTGACTTAATTAACAACAATTAAGCAACAAGTACTTCTTTAACGTCGCGTAGGATTGTTACGAATGGATGTTCATCTCCATCCAAAACACACCAGCACCGTTCATCCAAGTGGCCCTGATGTAACTGCTGTAGAACTCGGCGATTTTCCCCCAACATCTCAATCTTGTTGTTTAGCCAAGTCCTCTCGATTAGCTGGGTGTGTGCGCCTGTATTCGGATGAGCGTGATTGACGGTTTTGTGATCGTAACCAGCCTGATAACCTTGCCGACTAGTTGGCCATTCGCCAGGTGAATTGAACCCCTTTCTCTTTGTGTTCAATAATATGGATGGACGTCATTACACCTCGCTTGTGTGCGAAGAAGTACCGGACATCGGTATCCTGACACAATCTAAAGATCCATGGGCCATCAGTGGGTGTGCCGCAGTTCCGATTCTGTCTCTACTGGTTTGTCATCGTTTTCTTCGGCAGGTGCATCTCCATCTCAAAGACTATTACGATAATACTTACGGCGCCCTGTAAATCTGGTCCCTTTGATTTTTACTGGGTTTTCTGATGCTCCATTAATCTTCTCCCTCTTAGCGACAGGTGCCATTTCGGAGCAGACTTCTCAACAGTAACTCAACCATCCAACCACTGTATTTGGGAATCTACTAGTATGATTTGGCACTTCTTCCAGTAATATTCCGTTGCTCTAGAAAAAAATCAGCTCTAAAATTCCACAAAGCTCAAAATTACAGTGGGGTCGCACCTTACCAGTATCAAACCCCAGCCTAACCCCAATCCCTAACCCCTAACCCCATCCCCTAATCCTAAGTCCTAACAGGTACGACTGCGAAATAGGATCTTTCCTCCGGTGTAGTCCTCCGCTCAAATCACGATAATGGAGGAATTCGTGCCCCTTACTTACTGCTCAAACAGACTGGCGACGCTTTCTTCTGCTCCTTCATACCGGCACATCCCGTTCACAAAACTTCTTGTTTGTGAAAATCACCGGACCATCGGAATTTCGGGAAGATTTTTCCTCGGCTAAGAGACCATGTCGGAGGAGATATCGTGATGCCGCTTCTTTACCGTGTACCACTTCAGTATTAAACTCTCGTAATAACATTTTGAAGGGTATGCTGGGGTAGAAACAAAAAGTGACGGCAGGAACTGTGTCATAGTGTCACTGATAATCTCTGTTACATCTGGAATCTAAGCACAAATCTCAGGTTCTTAACGCGTGCTAGCGGAATAATTTTATATAAGTAAACTGGTTTAGTCCAGAGTTGGCAAAAGAATAGGCATTCCATGCTAGGTTCTTTAAATTTCAATGAAAGTAATGTGCGAACGCCTTCGGACAAACCGTTTCGGACTTAGTCCGAATACCGATATGAATTTATAAGCAGAAAAGCATCAACTTCAACAGCATAATAGTGTAATGTCCACATTCTGCCCGTCCATAGGTTGTCAGTAGTATGCAGGCATTGATTAATTCGCCATAGCGCCCGCATGGGTAATAGCTAACTGCCTAGATGCATGTTTAGCCGACTGGGATATCGTTGCATGGCGCACTTCCGAGCGTGTTGGACCACCACCGGATTACTCAGCATTCAACATGTTCAATTCTGGCATTTATGGACCGATTTTGCACTAGTTTTGGTTTGCTCACACCCATTTACCGAGCCAGTTAAAGGCACTTCGTATGATCTTTTTATAACAAAATAAAATTAATAGTATTCGAAGAGTCAATAGAATATACTCGCTGATTTATTAACCATATTCGCAGCATGGTTGCTAGCTAAAAGGGTCCATATTCAAAGTTACATTTAAAGAAAACTCAAAAGCTCAACACCAACAATTAGAGTATTACCGGAGAACACCCGTAGAACGCTGGGGGATCCAGCGATGAACTGAGCTCCTTGCCAATGTACAGGCAGCGGCATAAAATCAGTGAAACACGTGTCTGGGCTTTTTAGCTAATGCTCCTTCTGACCGGTTCACGCGACCATTGCGCTCTTACAGCTATTCAGTGTTTCCCAAGTATTGCAAATCCTTGAAACTGATATTTATATATCGTTTCTAGCCTATTCAACTGAGCGCAGGCATCTTCAGCTGCATACTTTGACAGCAGAGAAAGCGCTGCATGTGGGTCGGACGCGTACGACTTTTGAACATCTAGGGCCACTAAAAGGCGACACCTGCGTGCCAAGTTAGCAGCTTGTATGTCGCAGTGTGCCCTACAGGTAACGGGTGCTTTTCGTAAAAAAACATTCGGGGGTTTGTGTTTCGTAGCACCCAGCTCCAGGTAACCCCTTTAACGCCCGGGGTCGGCCCATAGGCATCGTCACGCGACTAACACGTGGAATAAGGAGGTGCACCCGTATATACAGTGTAAACACATCCATGCTAAGCAAACGACTGCAGCGATGTGGGGTGTGGTGGTGTCAATCCAGCCTTCACTGTAAACACAATCAGTGGACCTAGCCCAGTGGTCTAGGCACCATATATAAATTGGCCGAATGCTGGCTGCAAACAGAGGCCTAATTCTTATCCAAATGGAGGCGTAACCGACCTGCCTTGTTAAATTTATATCTTCTTTTAGGGAGTACATTAGCAGACCGGAACAAGAAGCAGACTCAGAAAGGGAAAAACCCGTACTAGTCGACGTGTCTGAGGAGAGAGGCTCCCACGAAAGGACCAGGCCCGATTACTGTTGCAAAATGGCCGCTCCCGTCTCTTCTTCCAACGGAAGTAACCCCAGCAGGTTTATGCATTTCTTATCGGAGGAGTAGTTTACCAGCTCGACCGATAACTGTTTTGTTTAAAGTTGTCAGATTATCAGAGGAGTGTCAAATTTTTTGTTAAAGAAACAATAAATAAAGACCCTAAGCCTGAGTTCTTTCCTGCGATATACTCGGGAAAACTGCAGCTGTAAGGCATCAACCGCTAGTCCGCACAGGGTTCTGCTCAGTCTCCGGTTTCTGTTAGGTAATCTGCTGAGGGGAGTGACCTTTCGCAAAAGTACTTGTGTCACCCTGCTAACAGCTCTTCGACTCACTCGAAGGAAGAAAGACTTTAGAGTTGAGGCCGACGAAGCTTTTAGAAGTTCTTTCTGCCTGTATTTTCGCAAATGTGTGATTTCAAAGAGCGGTAGTGAGAAAGCCGGAAAGGTAACTTTAAACGCCTTGCAGAACTGCGACTTTGAACGGGATTTTAAGAATTTCAAAAACAACACAGTAGCCTGGATTTGGCGCATAGACTGTCCCTCTTTCGAGATGATACCACTATCATTTTCTGTCATTGTCTTTCAAGGTTATGAGGAATAAGGCTTAGTTCGGTGGCGGCAATTACTTCAGTAGACCGGATCTAATATCACCCACCTTGTCAAGGCTTCTCCAGCCACACGAAATCCACCTGAATAATAATCCGACGCTTCGCAGTTCAGCCATTCGTGTTACCACTTGGCTTGTTCCCCGCCTTGAGTCCCTTATGCGAAACCGCTTTTTAGAAATAAGTGATGTTTGATATGGGGAGCGGTTGGCCTCGAGGTATCTGTTCTAGTAAGTCGATCAGGGAAATTTGTCTTACAGCCGCGTTCGATATACAGCCAAGGTCATATGTGAGCGGCGTTTGAGTGGTTTGGTTCCACCGCAGAAAATGACGTGTACAGTGCGTGATCGATCTCATGGAATGGTGGCCGAAATTCTGAAATGCGTTTTCGATTAGGAGGGATTACTTAGGCGGGGTTGTAATAATGATAAGTATGCAGCATAAGCCTACAACATTTCGGACTCACTAGGATGTCGGCTTTTGGATACACTCCTTTTTGACCTCCTGCAGAAACCGCACGTTGAAAAAATGACTGCTTAATTCACATGCATTTTTCTTATTGATTTTCGATGGTCTTGTAAATTCAAATATATTTTATAGAGAACATGCACAAAATATGCTGTCTTTTACTCCTTTGGTAGAAAATCACATCGCCTTGATATTTTATACCCGAAGAAATCGTATATTTAGGTTTTAAAAAAGTTTTTAATTATGAGATTTTTAAGACCGTGGGATGTCCATGCATACAGGACCGCACATGTCCGTTTATCAATGCTCCTAATGAAATGCTCAACACAGTCCGAATCCATGGCGAAATTTTAGGAACTCTATGTGGTACCTTCTTAAAGGCATAGAGGAACATATGATGTTCCTTACGCGGAAAGCATGCACCTTGCAGACTGAAATCGCCAAGCGTTAATGCAATGGCAGATCAGGCTCAAAATTATTCGGGAATCTGAAGACTTTTTAAAAACCTAAATATACAATTTATTCGGGTATAAAATATTAAGACAATGTGAGTTTCTACCAAAGGAGTAAAAGACAGCATATTTTGTGCATGTTCTCTATAAAAAATATATTTGAATTTACAAGATCATCGAAAATCAATAGGAAAAATGCATGCGAATTAAGTAGTCATTTTTTCAACGTACGGTTTCTGCAGGAGATCAAAAATGAGTGTATCAAAAAGCCGACATTCTGTTGAGTCTGAAATGTTGTAGGCTTATGCTGCATACTTATCATTATTACAACCCCACTTAAGTAATCCCTCCTAATCGAAAACGCATTTCAGAATTTCGGCCACCATTTCATGAGATCGGTCACGCACTGTATGTCAGGTTTTATCTTAGATCTCACGGGTAGGGCTGTAGCGTCTAGGGTTGTATTGTGTCCCCCCCAGACGGGCCACTAGGTAGATGTTAATAGAAGAGGCGAGTCAGGCCAGTAAAGCTCTTGTTCCAACGCTCGTGTCTCCTTCTACGCGGTAGATGTGCTGGACCAACACTGGGTTCAGCAGACGTTATTGGGAGTACGCGCCCGTTAAAAATTCAAACATTTGGGGTGTGATGCCAAGCCCGCTTGCAGGTCCCCGTCGCGCCATTTGGGATCCGTGTTGCCCCCTCCCTTTTTTCTTGCTATATAAAATCATGACCAGCTAACGTTGTGGACTAGGGGACGTGGTGATACACCCGTACCAGCCAGCGTACCAGATGGTCGAGCAATCATCACATCAAAATCCAACGCACGTGATGAAATTGCAGCCATTAACGGCGTGAATGTCGACCATCATACCACGTGCCACGATCCCTGGTGAAGGGGGGAGCCGTGAATATTCATAGGTATGCGGTAACATGACTACTGTATCCTATAAATACTGCAGCCCTTATGCACGAACCAAACGTATCTGCTTTTGTCTCTGAGGATGGGTTCGAGCAGGAATCCGAAACGTCAGGCTAATAAGGCTCTTGTCCCGACGATCGTGTCTCCTCCTTCAAGCAAGTTTAAGAATTGTTTAGTTAGCGTGTATTGCATTACCCGGTGGCGTGGTGGATCAAGCAGCTCATGTTGCATTTGCCGAGGGATGGCGGGTTCAAGTGGGGACATGGCCAGCCCCGTGTGTGGCTGAAGGTCAGCGCATCTGGTTGTTTTGCAGCAGCGACCTTTGAGTTGACACTGGGTGAGCTCTAAGGTAAATAAGGCGACTAGTGCAATTATGGCGGGCGGTCACTGTCCTCCACCACTGTAGCACGGTCATTAGAGCGCCTTAGGAAGAGGTTTGCATGGTTGATGAGAGCGGGTAAATCAGGATCTGGGACCTGCAAAGGCACTAAAAACGTAATTACACTTGGCTTTTGTTATCCGCTTAGGAATATCCTATCCGCTCTGGAAGAATTAAAGTGAGAAAGAGACACAACACAGTACATAAATGAACGGAGAAAACAAGTTGGTTTAATCGACGTGGATTTATTGAATCAGTTATGCCGGAGAAAAGAGTTTTTCGCAGACCTGAACACTTAAAAACTTGACGCAGTTGGGCTTTCCAAATTTCCTAGACACCTGTAGGCGAAAATCGTTGCAATAATTTGCCGTACTATTTCGCCGTACACTCGGGACATCAAAATGCACATTAACATTCTAGGTCAGATGTGGTTATTTAGCCGCACATGTGGCAAGTAAACCACAACCGCCTGTAATACGGGACCGGTGTTGATAGGGAGTTTTACAGATGGGGCCGGGGAACGCACAGGGGACAAGGTCAAATAATTTTATGCAAAAGAAAAGCTATTGGGGACGCGCGGTTTTGCTTTGAGGGGTTGAGAAGTGGTTGCCCTAACTCCCAATTCTAACTCCTAACTCCAATCCGCAACCCTAACTCCCAACTTTATTGTGTTCATCGGGTGTGGTTGCATAATCCCATCTTACCACATTCTATTCTATGCTCTAATTCATGCCTCTGCTCCCAAGTGCCGGAGCGGCTAAATAGCGCAGTTTTCGGAAACCTTCCGCACGCCAGTCTGACGAAAGCCGATGGAAAGACTTGACACAAATTCCCCTGGACGGAAAATTTCAGAATCAGCCACCTAATTCCTGCATTAGAATCTGAGAAAGGCACAGTCAGCTTACATGTCAGCTTACACGGAGTAAGTGCATGGTTACTTGCTGGTGGACACAGTGGGAAGACGGACCATTCACGGTCGCACCATGCTTCTACGACAAATAAGACAGACATGTGTCTGGGCTATTTCCTGGTACCTGTAATGGGAGCACAGTGAAGCCACCGTTTGCCAAACGCTGGGGGCCAAGTGAAACGAAGTATCGTCCTCAGTCGGCTTATTCACAAGCAGTGACCTGCCGGTAACATCTCTTGACTCGTAGCGACTCGACGAATGCTACCAACAAAGACAGAGACATCAGAAACTGCTAGTCCTGGAGTTTGAGGTGACCTGCAAAGCTTCCACAACAAGTCGCGCAGGAGATGCTCTCAGCCGAAATGGTGGTTAGACTAGGTCACAGTACGGGTTAACCCGGGTGTGCGGAGCCCGCGCATCCCATCACAAATGTCAGGCATACGAACAGGTGGTGTCACGCCTAGGCGCAAGCTCACGCGGCGCCAGCCAATGTTGCACAGTCCTAGTGTCAGATGACTGGTCAGCTCGGACAGGTGACTGGCGCATGAGAGGAGGGAGATTTAGGTTGACACCGCGGAGCCTATTCTCACGGCACTTTTGCGCATTCATGACTACAAAAAATCGTACCTTCACTAGAACTATCACTAAGTCCTAAAAGTCGTGGCTTGGGAGGCTGTGGTCCTCTCGGGAGGGAGAGCCGGACTGTAGTGGCTCCTTCTGAATGTGGCCTCCATAGAACTCCCGCTCAGATGGGATCCGAGCCGTCATCTTTTTGTGAAAACCTGGTGCGTTTTGCTGTGTAGCACGCATAGACGGATAATCTAACATTGTCAACTGTTTCGCATGAGACCGCGTCTTGTAATCTTGACTTTGTCTTGATATCGGATCCAAGTGGGGTGGGGAAAGAGAGACAGAATCTGCGCAAGTCTGCTATCCCTACAAGGGATTTCAGGCTCAAACCACCGTCTTGCACCCACCATGCTGTATGGCACACGGTGGACACTGTCATTCCTGTGGTAGGGGGGCGCTCACCGATCGTCCCTACGGAACTCACTCGTTCCGTTGTGCCTTACGGGCTCCCTCTCTCGAGTCCAACCAGTAGCCGCACAGCGGCGCATGATAGAGGCAGAATGGTATTGTCGACAAAGACAAGGGAGACTGGAATGGCCATTTCTGGCTTATTAGCCGTCGTCAGCCAGTCATACCCAACCTCGAAGTGTGGAACAGCCGAGGGTCGAAATCGCGACCTGTTAGTTAGCAGTTCACGCCTCTAACCACTGGGCCACGAGTTCGTTGCCTTGTCAGTTTTCGATCGGGAATATACAATGGTAGAG